CTTGGTTGATGAGATCAAAGCTAAACAGCCCCTTGATAGCTCCTTGCTTTCCATCTTTGAGCAAGTAGAGCAGGGGACAAACTCAGATTACACAATTGATCAGGATGAAGTTTTATGCTTTAAAGGTAGATATTGTGTGCCTGATGATGCTGAGTTGAGGAAGACTATCCTTACTGAGGCTCATAGTAGTCCATATGCTATGCACCCCGGAGGAGATAAGATGTACCGGAATTTGAGAGAGAGGTATTATTGGATTGGTATGAAGAAAGACATATCTGACTTTGTGGCTAGGTGTTTGACTTGTCAGTAAGTTAAGGCAGAACATCAACATCCATCAAGTTTGTTACAGCCTATCAAGATTCCTGAATGGAAATGGGAGCGTATTACTATGGATTTTGTTACTGGCTTGCCTATGACTCCTTCGAAAAAAGATTCAGTTTGGGTGATTGTTGACAGACTTACAAAGTCAGCTCACTTCATTCCTGTGCGAGTAAATTATACTTTGGATAAGCTGGCAAGATTGTATATTTCAGAGATTGTCAGATTGCATGGTGTTCCATTGTCTATTATTTCTGACCGAGATCCGAGATTTACTTCGAGATTTTGGAAGGCGTTACATACGGCTTTGGGAACAAGATTGGATTATAGTACATCCTTTCATCCACAAACTGATGGTCAATCTGAGAGAGTAATTCAGATTCTGGAGGATATGTTGCGGGGTTGCGTAATCGATTTTCATGGTAGTTGGGAGAACTTTTTGCCGTTGGCTGAATTTGCTTACAATAACAGTTATCAGACCAGCATTCGTATGGCACCCTATGAAGCACTCTATGGGCGTAAATGTCGCACTCCGATCTGTTGGACTGAGTTGCGTGATAGGAAAACGTTGGGACCTGAGTTAGTGCGAGAGACAGAGGACACAGTCAGATTAATCCGTGACCGTCTGAAAGAGGCATTTGATAGGCAGAAATCTTATGCAGATCAAAGAAGGAAGGATATACAGTTTGAAGTGGGAGATCATGTCTTTTTGAAAGTTTCACCCTGGAAGAAAGTATTGAGATTCAGGCGTAAGGGTAAATTGAGTCCAAGATTTATTGGACCATTTCGTATCTTGAAGAGGGTAGGACCTGTTGCATTTCAGCTTGAGTTGCCTTCTGAGCTAAGTCGTATTCATGATGTCTTTCATGTATCAATGTTGAGGAGATACCGTCCAGATCCAGGTCACATTATTCAGGTTGAAGAAGTAGAGCTGAGAACTGATTTGTCATATGAAGAGGAGCCCATTCAGATCTTAGAAAGAGATGAACGAGTTCTTCGAAATAGGCGAATTCCAATGGTCAAAGTTCAGTGGAGTAATCGAGGCCCCTCAGAAGCTACTTGGGAGACATTGGAGTCAATGGAGGCTCAGTTTCCTCAACTATTCTCATAAGGTAAATTTCGAGGACGAAATTTCTTGTAGAGGGGGAGAATTGTAACAACCCGACTATTTACAAAATAATATTAATTGAAATTGGAGGTAAATTGTGAAAATGGGTGAAATTAAGTGACTAAAGTATAATTTATGAGAACTTGTATGCCATTTTCAAAGTAAAGGAAATTCAGGGACCAAGCCCTGAATTTCCCCTAAAAGTGTCGGCAGGTTTGGTTATAACTAACGTGTTTTCTGATTTCAATCAGAAAACACAAAAGCTTTTCTTAAATTTTCACTCCTCCCGCACCTCGACTTTCAAGTCCGATTCCGATGTCGTTCGACATCCGATCATCAAATTGAAACCACCATCGTGTTCGTTATCGAGTCAGGAACAATCCCCTTAAATTAATTGAAGCGAAACGCTGCTAAACGTCGGGAATTTCAAGTCAAAGCATCGATATTTTTTTTAGCTCTATCGCCGAGAAAATCTCAAATTCACCGCCGATCGTTGCTCAGTTTACCACACCTCCTGCACCATCGTGTTCCTTGTGTCGTTTCGAGTTCACCAGTGTCAACCTTATCCGCCGTAGATGGTGGCGCGTGAGGAGGTGGTGCAATCAAAGATTCGGCCGATTTGAAATCGAGCTCTCCGCCGTTCAAAAATTTGAACCGATCATTGTAAGTATCTCGAAATCGCTCAAAATAATTTTTAGAAATTTTTCCGGGATTTTTAGGGCCCCGAAGGACGCCTCACGCGCCACACGTGCCGCCGTAGGGCGAGTGGCTGCTGGAAACCGGTTTAACCGGTTTTCAACCGGTTCTGACCGGTTTGACCGGTTCGAATCGGTTTGACCGGTCTGACCCGACCGACTGACCCGACCCGACCGTTGACCCGACCCGACCGTTGACCGTTGACCGTTGACTTTCTTTGACCAAAACTTAAAATGGGTTTGACCGAGCATTAAACGACCGTTAATCTTTTCCGAGTATACCTATCCTGATAGTTTTCGACGTGCCAAATCCGTTTCCGCTGTCCGTTTCGTCAAATTCGAACCTGAAGGACTCCAAATCGACGGTCAAAGTAGTTGACTTTGACTTTGACCAAGAATCTGAATTTTCGAAAAGTCATACTTTATGTTTTTCGACGTCCTGATTCTGATTCCGCAATTCGTTTGTCTAAATTCAGACTCGAAATACCCCAAATGGATAGTCAAACCCGAAAAATGCTTATATACTTAAGAAGTCTAGTTTTGAACAATTAAATAGGAATTGGGACTGATAGATTACTATTGTTTGAAGGTACAAGAGACTCTCCGGATCGTTCGACAACTCGACCCAGCTCTTCTAGATCAGTTAAACCACGTGTGCCATTATTCACGCGTTCAAAAACTGTAGCAGAGCGTGGTGAAACCAACAATCAGTAGATTTGCTATTTGAACCTATTGTCGAGGTGTGTTCCCTACTTATTACTGAACTGTTTTATTGGTTTTAATATGTGGTACACCGAATTCATTGGTTATTGTTTTATGGATGCACCAATTTAATGCGACAATTTATGGAATATGGCTGCTATCTAATTTTTGTTTTGAAATGGTATATGATTACCATGTTTTTGGATTTATGGAATTTATGTCACGGTGCAATTGAATTTTGGAATTGAATTACGATGGAATAGCTCTGATCAAGCTAAATGGGCCTAATGTGACTCTTGAGGGCCCCAAGATGTTTCATTAGGTCGGCTTTCCTTTGCTGTGTGCTTTGGGTAAGCTATATGGACTTATTGACTTGGGCTTAAGGATACAAGCTTCAGAGCCTATCCTTAAGTCGGCTTTCTTTTTGCTATGTTCATAAAGTAAGCTATATGGAAAATAATTTTGGGAACTACTGATGGTGTACCAGAAAAGGGTTTAAACTATGATTTTCAAAAGTTAAACTCTTTTACGAATTTGTGAGATTACTGGACTATGATTTGTACCTATTGACATTTTATGGAAATGTTGGGACACATTGAGCCTAGCTCACCTTTTGAAAATGTTTTCCCCCTTTCAGATACTGTTGGTTAGATACCTTGGTTCGAGCACTTGGAGGATCAACATATCTCTTGAAGTAAATCAGATTGTAATGTTTTTATCTTGCAAGTTGACTTTATTTTGGTGACATGGACCTTATTTTAAATATCGGATTTTATAATGATGACTCTTTTGCTATTACTGCTCGGTTTATTATGATTTTGAATTTGAAGACATGTTTTAAATTAAATTATTATTTATTGGTACTATATTTACGAGTTGGATTTTGATAGTATAATTTGTTTATAATTTCATGTTATTTATAATGTGATTTTATATTGATAGAATAACGATTTCGGAAAATGTCTTTAATAATCATAATGTGATCCACTAGACTTAGTCGTAACGCATAGGCCGGGTCTAGGAGGTTACATGAATTATGTACATGTTTAAATTAATCAATATAAATCATCTTTTATATTATAATCAATAAACCGATATTTATTTATATTTAATCTCTTCCCTTGTAATATCAAATTTCGGGAACAATATGCACAACAAAATAAAAGAAATAAAAAGTTTTATTTATTTTATTTCAGTTCAAACTGATTCAATAATTATACATATTATTTACTTGAGAGTAATAAATTCCGGTAGTCTTTACTTAGTAGAAGGCATAATTAATTATTGTTTCAGTGAAAACGCACCCACACCTCGTAGAATTATAGTATGAATCAATCATAAAATAGTATGTATTCAAATTTCATTGGGTAAATTACGTATTTGGTATCTAAACTATAAGTTTTTGTCTGTTTTAGTATCTAAATTTTCATTTTTTTCTTCATAATCATACCTAACGTTTAATTTTCATTTCATTTTAGTACTCGTCGTTAAAAGCTTAACGCAATTAGTATCTAAACTTTCAATTTTTTCAAAACATAACGTTAAATTTTGAACGGGATATTAAAATGAAACAAAAACTAGAGTTTTTAACGGCGGGATATTAAAGTGAAGAAAAAAACTAAACTTTATATATGGTTTTAAAAAGATTAAAAGTTTATATATTAAAGCGGATAAAAACTGATAGTTTAGGTTAAAAAAACACAATTTATCCAATTTTTTTATTCTATTGATAAAGTGCATGTATTGGGGAGTAACTACTTGAACTCCGATCTTTAGAGAAAATAATAGCATTGAAGCATCCGAGGACTTTAGATGTGCCAAGGATAATTCTTTGTAGGCATCTAATAAATAGTGGTTTCTAGGTACGATCCATGGAGTAAATAAGAATCCACTTGCGAAATAGAAGAGTGAAAAGACTATGCAGCAAGAGAGAAGAAGAAAATAAAACGGTTATAATTGCTCCAAGCTTGAAACAACCTAACATGCTCTTAAGGGCTTAAACCTCAAGAAACTAGAAACAATGTGGAATTGTTTGTTTTTCTCATTTATTTTCGATAAAGTGCCGGATCCTGCACTATATAACCAAAGCAGCGATGACCAGTCCCGTAGTGAGCCCAAGTGTCCATCAGCTACCGATTTATCGAGCAGTAAAATTTACTGGAAAAGAAAACGAAACAAGACCAACAACTTTATTGCGGTAGAATCAAACAACCTTAACATCGGTCCTTAAGTCATCGTCGGCCATGAAAGAACACCAGAACCAGTGCTGCTTCCAGACTTTGTCAACCATGGAATCAACAGGGACCCCTTTGGTCTCAGGCAACAAGAACCAAGTGAAGACTCCCATTATAACAATCCACCCAGCGAAGAAGAAGAAGATCCCAGCTTGCATGTGGCAGAGCATCGAGAGGAAAGCTTGAGCAATGACGAAAGTGAAGAGCATGTTGGAGCTGACCGCAAAGGCAAAACCAGCGGATCTCGTCTCCAGAGGGAACGTCTCGCTTGGAATTAGCCAGCCAATAGGCCCCCATGACCAGGCAAACCCCATCACAAAGAGACACACCATGACCACCACGAAGGTTGCCTCCCCTTTGGTAAGATTGTCAGCCGTGGTTTTCAACTCTTTGAGGAGGATTATACCGATGATAACCTGCATAAATGCAACACATTAGTATTACTATTGGAAAAATCAGCTAGTATGAATTCAATTGGAGGCTTAATAGAGCCCTAACGTGGGAAATAAGCATCTGGACACAAGCTTCAAGTAGCAGAAATCTCCTGCCGGCCCTGTCTACTAAATATACTGAAACCACAGTACTAAACACGTTGACGAGGCCAGTAATAACTGACGAAAGCAATGCGGCATCGTTCCCGAATCCTACGGTCTGGAAGAGGACCGGAGCGTAGAACATTATAGCGTTGATCCCGGTAAATTGCTGGAAAACTTGTAAACAGATGGCAATTATTAGTGGGGGTCGGCTCACTGGCTTCATTAGTTTGCGGAATGGGTCCTTTACTTGCCTTGCCATCTCACAAGCGTGTACAATCGAATCGAACTCGTCGTCGATGTTCTCGACGCCGCGGATTTTCCTCAGAACCTTCCTTCCTTCCTCGATTTTGTTACGTTCAATAAGGCTGGTTGGAGTCTCACAGATGAGTATAGATCCCAGGCAGAGCATCAAAGCGGGGACACCGGCAATGCCAAGAGAAATTCTCCAGCCATGAGGGTGGACATTTGATGTGAAGTAGTTTATCAGATTGGCTACCAGAATCCCAATAGTAATGAAGAGTTGGAAACTAATGTTGAGTGCTCCACGGATCCTAGCCGGAGCTATCTCAGATAAGAAGAGTGGTACAGCCTGAAACAATTTATAATAATTAATATTATTAGCTAGTTAGCCGACTGGTATACATTAAATTACCGAAACTAATTAGCTTACTTGATTGGCAAAACCAACACCAACTCCAAGAAAAATTCTCCCCAAGATGATCATTCCAAGATTGACACCAGCAGCAGTTAAAATGACGCCGATCATGAAGAAAATTGAAGCAATCTGCATGGTGAGCTTCCTGCCAGCTTTTGAGCAAACCTTCGAAGCTACAAAACTGGCGATCAGAGCAGCAAGGTACAAGCTCGACGTGAACAATTGGAGGAACTGGTTATCGTATTTACAGTAATTGTTTTCAAGAACATGTTGTTTCTTTCTATAAACAGCTGGGAAGAATTCTTTCAAGAAATCATCCATGGATGTTACTCCACCTGTCAATCCAAATCAATTCTTTTCCTCACCACAAATTTTTTAAAATATATTCAACACATAAATTCAGAAAGCAAAAGAAAAACCTGAAATGCCAATGTCATAACCAAACATCAAGCCTCCAAAGGCTGCTATGATCACACAAACTATGACATACACTGTTATCCTGCCTTCAAATTCTGGATGTTCACCAGAGCCGCTTACTACGACTGCAGGCGCCATTTTTTTTTATCAGAGTGAAGATATATGATGTAGATATCGATAATAATATTTTCTTTTCTGAGATTAAGTAATAAAACGAAAAGAACAACACTGCTATTACTGTTTATTTGTGATCGATATAAGTTCAGTATCTTACACCTCATTGTACATGCTTTATATACAGGAGCTGAGCATACAACAGAAATCTAAAATTGACATTTTCTTCAAACTAAAATCACGATAAGCTGTCCCACCTGTTTTTTTTTTTACTTCTAATTTTAACCTTGAACTGATTTTATTCTGATTTGAATCGGTAAAAATATGCTAAAATACGACCCTAAACTGATGTTCCTGATCCATAATTATCGATCTTCACCAAGGATTACTTACAATAAACAGTTGCTAATCCACCTTAACAAACACAATTCCACATCTTTAGCAGCTACTGTATATTACTATAATATAGTATTATTAATATTACTCTTTTTTTGTTTTCAATTTTATTTTCCATTTTAGTATATTTTAATTTTAAGTACGTTTACATTCAAGTTATAATATAATTCAGTTTAAAGACTAGATATATAAATGCGATATAAAATACAATATAAAAATAGATATGGTAAAATAAATAAATTATATAGAAATATACATATAATAAACTGAAATATATTAACATAATGTTATATTATTAATTGCTTAAAACTAACAATAATGAAACTAATAACAAATAAAATATTTTTAAGTATGTGACTTATACATAAGCCATTATTATAAGTCTTATGATGTGCTTAAAATGTGTAATTCAAGTGATTATAGTGATGATATAATGTATATAATGTATAAAAGATATATGTATACATACATATGTATAAATTGGTATAAATATAGAAGCAATATTTATGTTCAGTGTATTTATATTTTTGTTTTCGGCATATTTTTATCATTGTTTAGGGCATTATTGATCTTGTTGCTCATGTGATTTGTTTTTCCATACGTAGATATTTGATTATAGTATTCCTAATTGTTTGAGGGTTGTATTATCTAATAAGTCACATACAATCTCCCTATCATAGCTATTTTGATCCCTAAATATATTTTTTTTGGACTACGTGGTATCTAAAAGGTATTAATGTCTTGATTTGTTATGATCTTACATACCCTTTTCAAATGTCATCTAATACACACATAGATCTTACATACATCGAGATCTATGGGGAACTTCCTGCAATAGTAGCTTCGAAAAACATCTATGGAGACAGAATACTCGAAATCTTATACCTCTTGAAAAATTATAATTTTTAACATCATCTCTAATAGGTGCTATGTGATTTATCAGAAAAAAAATCAAGGTCCGATCACATTAAACATACTTGTTATTAAGAACTCAGTGAAGAAATGGTATTTTATTGTTTTCAGTTCACTTTTCAAAGTAACCGCATGCACTAATATATACAAAGCACTACAACCAATGTGGTTAGTCAGACATGCAACAGACAGTCTACAACCAAACAGCCTAACCTCCTTGATCAACCGGAAACAGACACGTGTACCCACAACTAACATCAGTAAGGTCTCTCAATATTCTCCCCACTCTTTTTTCCTTCTTCAAATTGCTGAACATTAACCTTCTCACAAAATGCAACAAAGGTAGCTTTAGAGAGAGGCTTTGTTAAGCCATCAGCAACCTGATGGCACGCAGGCACATAACTGACTTTCAGCTGATTTGCAACAACTTTTTCCTTGGAAAAAATGAACGTCCATGCCCACATGCTTAGATTGATCATGATAAACTGGATTTGCACTCATCGCAATTACTCCAATATCATCACACTAGTTTGTTGGTAGCTCGATCTGATTCACTCCCAGCTCCTTCAACAACATGCTCACTCATATTACTTCAGCTGCAGCATCAACGATGCTCTTATATTCAGCCTCCACCGTAGAGCGAGAGACGGTTTTTCTTCTTTGTTACCCAAGATCAGACTGCTGCCTTTAAACACACAGCTGCCAGCCATAGACCGACGATTGTTAAGATCACCATCCCAATAAGCATAAACAAATGCAACTATATTCAACGCTGATGATGTCAATGAGAAAACAAGCCCATAGTCAAGCGTACTCTTAAGGTATCGAAGTATTTGTTTAACCGCTAGCATATGACATTCACACGGTGCATGTATGTACTGAGCTACTTTTCTTACGCTAAAGGCAACATAAGGCCTTATATGACAAACATAAAGCAAGGCTCCAACTATGCTATGATACTCTCGAGCACACTCTAACGGTTTCCTGACTTCCTGAGTCAACTTTGTAGCTACCACCATAGGAGTAAAAGTGGGTGTGTCCTTGTCCATTTTTGTCTTACAGAGAAGACCGCTAAGGACAAGCATCCCATCATGACGCTTAACCTCGATACCTAGAAAATAGGTGAGATCATCGAGATTTTTTAACAAGAACTGACTACTCAATGCATGTATAACATTCTCAGCTTCTTCCTTAGATTGACCTGTCACAATTATATGGCCTATATATACCAAAACATAGGTATACACACCATTTTTGCTTGTAACAAACAAGCTATCAACCTTGGATTCATGAAACCCTATTTACAGCAAGCAATTCTTCAACGTGGCATGCTAGTTACGAGGAGTCTGGTGAAGCCTGTAGAAAGCCTTTTGTAACTTGCAAACAAGCTTGGACCCATTAGGAGCTAATTCTTCGAAACCAGGGGGTTGCTGCATAAAAACGTCTCCATAAAGTCCTCTGTTTAGAAAAGCATAATTTATGCCTACTTGACGCAACACCCAACTGTTTGCAATGACCAAGAAAAGCACAACATTTAGCATTGAAAATTTATCACAGGACTGAAAGTGTCTTGGAAATCCTGCTCCGGCACTTGAGAGTAGACTAAACGCGCCTTGTATCACTGAATCGAGTCGTCAACATTTCATTTCAGCTTGAAGAGCCACTTGTACCAATGACTGATTGACCTTCAGGTAATTTAACCAACATCCATGTCCCGTTTTTTTCTAGGCATTCAACTCATCATACACTGCTTCCTTCCAACTGTTACAGCGAAGAGCTTTATGCGCAATGGTTGGCACCTCATCATCAAACATGCTTGTGAAAAAATTTAATTTGACTATATTTGCTCCTTGTGAGCATGAGATGAAGATTGACACTTGGACCAGCAATTTCAGCAGACTGCTCAGGAACCAAGGGATCCTCTCAAGCTCTAGACACAAGTATGACTTGCCTCATGCGATTCTATCACAGCTTGGGAGTTGACATGTGTGGTGGATGGTGCACTCTCATTACCACTATGTTGTATACTTTTATGACCACTGGACAAAGACCCCTGAATTTTTGGAGAGGCTATCGCAATGTTATTTTCATCAACTGGCTGAGGTGCTGACATTATAGGGGCAGTATGACTATGTGAGCTATGTAAATTAGTCACAATCTCCAAGATTGCTGACTTTTTTGGTTGACTGGAACCAAGACCCTCATTCGAACTTAACTCTGTAAAAGGAAAAATATTTCATCAAACTGAACGTGCCTTGAGATAATTACTCGACCATCGAGAGTCAGACACTGAAAGCCTTTATGCCGAGGACTACAATTTAAAAAGGTTAAAGCTTGAGATCAAAACATAATTTGTACCTCTGAAATGGACTGAGATATAGGAAACACCTACAACCGAAGACCCTCAGTGAAGAGTAGTCAGGTTTTTTGTTAAAGAGCTTCTCACGGGAGGCATGCCATCAAGCACTTGTGTTGGTAATCTATTCACTAATTGCATAATAATTACAACTGCATACGACCAGAATCGAAGAGAAAGAGATGCATAATCCAGTAACACAAGAGCTAACTCCACCAAGTGTCGATGTTTTTGCTCCACAACCCCATTCTGTTATAAAGTATGGGGATAAGTAACACGATGAGTAATGTTTTCCTTTAATAGCTCATTTGACAGGGTTCTATACTCATCCCCCAGTCACTTTATATTGCTTAGAGAGGCAAGCCTGTAACACCTAAATCCAAATAAAACGAAACCCAAAGGGTTTGTTAATTTCACGGGACCACCGGAGTGATTAACCTATTTTTTCTTTCAAATAAAACATTTCATTTTCCAAAATAAAGTTCATCACTTTTAAGTTAAAACAAAATATTAGTAGTTAGGTGTACAAACCGGGGAGCTCTTAAAATAATTTATCAACTACAATAATCTAAGAGTTATGACTCGAAATAGAAAAAGGGTCTATGATAATACGTGTCCACTACAATAATCAAGACATACTCTGTTGCTGCTATTTGGAATTCGAAGTCTGGCAATACGCTCTCAAGTCCGACACCTACTAACCCGCAAACGGAAACAATTCCGAACATTGAGCTACGAGCTCAGTGCCACATAAGTGACTACACTATGCTATATGCATCCATTAACTATGAGTACTTAGAAAGTTAAGTCATGATGTAACATAATGCAATAAGAAAAGATCATAACATAAAGATATGTGTCACAATATCATAAGAATTATAATATAATTACCATTATATAACGAAAGTGCCTTAGCACTAATACTAAAGTGTCGCATCACTGATACAAAAGTGCATTCGCACTGTTGACGAAAACAGGTAAAGAAAACAAAAGAACACGAGAATTTTACGAGGTTCGGCAATGTGCTTACGTCCTCGGTGCCTAGGCGGCGCTAGAAGTTTTTATTCAATGATATTTTAGGTCTAGGTTACATCTCTATTTATAATAGAAAACCCTGGTACATAATTACAAAATTAACCCTGTACCGTACCGCGGGGGCTGCGCCCCCGCACCCCCAACCCACATAATTCGTAACCCCACAACGAGACTTTCTTTGTAAGAACAGTTGATGTTCGCTTCGCTCACTCCGCTCCATCTCCTGTCCTCTTTACTGGTATATTTATGAGCCATACCTAACAAATCTCCACCTTGGCGAATATCCTGCCTCTTGAAAATTCAATGTGGGTTGGGTTACCTTGATTCTTTAACAACTCGAAAACATTCAACAAGTCCAAGCAATGC